ATTTATTATGTTGGCTCCAAGTCGAGATTGATTAAAAATATTATTTAATTCCCTCTGTACTAATCTCCGCCTTGATGACAATCAAATTATTAATAACATCATAAAAAATAATGAAAAAATAAAATTAAAAATGATAGTTTTGTATTAGATCTTATTTCACACAAAAATGCAGTTAAAGCAACATTTACATTGTGTGATTTTCTCTTATAATATGAAAATACTACACCAAAGCTTCTTAATGCATTAAAAGAAGTTAGAGATGAGATCTAAAGAGACATTAATTTTTTTAAAAAATAATTAATATTGAAGTCATATTTTATAAAATCATTCTAATTGAGTCATGTATATATATAATTTTAATGTATAAGAAGATTGTTAATTTATATATTAAGTGAGATTATGTTTTTTTTAAATGTATTATCTTATAAATTTAATGAATTATTAATTTATTATGTTGGCTCCAAGTCGAGATTGATTAAAAATATTATTTAATCGAGATTATTGGTTTATGGAGTATTAATTATAGAGGTATTATTGTACTCAAATTCCTTATTTTTTTTACTATAAGGGTGCCTCCATCCCTGTGGGGTCCCTTTTTTTTTCCCAATATTTATAAAAAAGAATAATTTTAAATGGAACAATGTTATAAATAAATAGAAATAATAGGAAAAAAAGAATCATTTTAAATAATAGTAGTAATAATTGTATTAAAGTACTAACATTTGAAATTTTTCTTTCTGGTCTTGTCCTTAGCGCAAAATTTTTTATTTAATTTTTTTAATTTTTGGAGATATTTAATTTTTGTGTATCTTAATATATGCTAATATTATTAATATAAAAGTAATTATTCATAAACTATATAATTTATAACATAAATTTATTTGGGACTATAATTGACATACATTTCATTTTTTAAAATATTTATATGTTATTATATAACTTAACATATATAATTACGTGTGGTATTGAAAAATATACTTATTTTCAAGTTGTCAAATTCTTTCAATGATAACAATGTAATTGGAAATAAAATCATCGTTGAAAATATGATATTAAAAATTAAATTATTTTATTAAAAAGTTTTTATTTATATTTATTTAAATGATTTTGTATAGAAGCATATTATAAAATAATTTAAGTAATGACATGCAACGCATGTGTCAACAAATGGTAGCTAGTTTTATCTAAAATCTAATGATACGACTACAAGTTATGAAACGTTGATTATTAGAACTTAAATATGATTTTTGGACTCTCTTATCAATGTAAACTTTTGAGATAATCGAGTACATAAGTATACTAAAGACTAAAAACCAAAAGAGATTATTCCTATAAACTCTCTGCATCCTCATGCTCGAAATCAGCAGCTACTCCAAAATTAAACCCAATGAAATGATTAAGCAGTAGTTCCTAATTTTCCAATCAAGGTCAGCAATCATTTCTCTTCGCTTTCCAATTAGGTAGTTAACACACGGCTTTTCCCCATGATAGACTGCTGCCTTTCTTAGATGAATGGCGGCTGAAATAGACCTGAACCCCAAAGTAATATAGGAAAGATTATACCTCCAATAATGCTTATCATTATAGCTTTCTATTATGTGATATTATTATGGTTTTCGCTTCAACAAAACAATAATATTTCAACCACTTTCTTGGAAGGAGGCTCTTCTTTTGAACAACATGTTGGCCTTCGCTTTCTAGCAACAAAAGTTGTGGCAACATAGTAATTCTGATAAACTAGAAAAGCTGACACAAAATGAATGGAATTGTGGATAGTATTGAGTGATGAATACTTAAAGATATTGTATTAATACAAAAATGCAAAGCTAATCTGCAATCGACTCAAATAAGATTTATCAAACTTGTCTTTGTCAGCAATAAGTGATGAAGTTGGGATTTTATCTTCTTCACTTTAGAATTTAAGCTTCCCATGCATTGCTAGTTAAGTGTCTGTTTTGGCAGACAACCAGAATTGCGTAGATGAAATGACATGACCAGTTTCAAAACTTAATTAGCGGTAATTGTTATAAATATTTCCTCAGCATCAGAGGAGGAAGCTCATAGAGGATAACTTTGACCAACCTTTCATTCTTAATCCTAATTTCTCTGGGGTTATATAAAGATAAGATGAGGAACCCCGCATTAAAAGGAGGCTCGTCTTGCCTAATGTTGTTACTTATTTGGAAGTTACATACTTGCTTTCAAAAAGTACATATATTTCACTCAATGATTTTTCAAATTAACAAAACCTTTCCATAAACATCATGTAGGCTAAATTTCATCTTTAAAAGCTTGATAACAATGCACTTAAACTTCCTCCTACATTACAAAACAAATTTAACATAAATTTACATTTCTTAAATTTAGTACATCTAAATTTAATTTATTAATCAAATCTTTTTTTGGGGGGGCTAGTGATGTATGCATATGATTTCATTTATCCTCTTATTATTTGTTTTCTAATACATGGATAATTACTCAAATGCTAAGATTTAAGAATTTTGATTTACTAATTATATATTAGTATTTGTTTTAAAAACCACATTACTGACTAGCACTTACAGAACCAAAATAAAACTATATAGGGTACATGTTTGATATCTAATAGACTAAAGAAAATTAAAATTTCAATAATTTTATATGCCTAAAAAATATTGAAAGTAAAACCAAGGGAAATCTTCTTGCAATTGGTTCATACGTACAACGGAGATAGATAATCAACCATATGTACAAAAATCCTAATTAACTTATTCAGGAGACATGCATGGATCTGGCAACCATGAAGAGTTCCTTTTGTGAGGAGGTACCCTTTTTCGTATAAGCCAATAAATTTTATTGATATTAGCAGATAAGATGAGAAAATTTTCTCCTCTCTAAATACGGAGAATTTTTCATCTCTTTACTGCCTTTGGTATGTTACAGTGTCCCATTGCCACTCCTGTTACAAACCATACCCCGCACTGACAATCCCTCAAAAATCACTCGTGGCTCTTACTTAACAGCAGGATTCCCTATAACGCCTACACACGACACTGATACATACAACCCACCTAAATCTATCCATGTTGTAGGCACTACACCCATTAATCTGTCTTACATGAACCTTAACAACACCTATCCATAGAGATAACCACATATCAATACAGCATAAAATACCACGAACTATGACAAGTCCATTGAAGCCATCAGTCTGCTCCAATATCTTCTCGGTTCCTATCCATGCAACACGTTCCATTGGCAAAATCAATTTGGTTCGCAGGAGTGCCTTTTATCTTTACATGTTTCCATTTTATAGCCACATAAATCACTTTAACTCAACAATTAAAAGGCATGACGACTAAACCTAGCTTCGTCTTGGATATCTAGTTGCAAAATTGGATGATTCGGCAGATGGTGGAGCCACCAATAGTTTAGGGTTGGGTCTGGTTCTCAACAAATTGCCACCAGAATTTTCAATTTGAACACTTCATTTCCATTTAAGGTAACATCATAGTAAGTTGTATATCCATCTCTAGAAGCTCATAATTTGCTCTTTCAGCCATCCGATTGTTTATGAATATCTGGAATTGTCTGTCGCCCTTTGTCTTTATTAGATCATTGAATTCGCAAAAATGGAACCTTGCCATATACCTGAATCCTGAATCCACAGGCAATCCCCATGTTAAATTGTGCTTTTTATTGTACGTAAAATTTGGACCCATTGTCCGAGCTATCTAGTAAATAATTTCGGTTCGATGTTGTAGAACTCCAACATTTTGTATAAAGATCATAATGGTAAAATCCCTTGGTGAGCTTAGGAAAATGTTTCTCTAACCCAACATTCATAAGACCTATTCCTTGAAAAACAATGAATCCTCAGTATATTTGAAAGATAGAAGGAAAGGAATGTCCAAAAGGGTGCACTCTATAAAATAAAGGGCATTTTACAGAGGAAGTGTTGATACTCTTGAAGGAAGTATCAATACCTTGGCACCCAAGTACCCAGCAAAGACATTTTGCCTAGAAAGTGTCGATACTTATAAAGAAAGTATTGATGCCTGGTAAGTAAAACTCTAAGAAAACTCACTATGTCTCGAAAGTATAAATACTTGAGCTTTAGATATCGATATATATGAATGTTTTACAAAATTTAAGGGTAAAATGGTAATTTTATAAAACTCACAAACCATTATTTCTTTCCTAAAGTCTCAACCCCTCATTTTCTTTTGAGAAAATTGTGAGAGATAATTTTTTTTATAAGCCCAATTTTAAAATATTATTTTTTATAATTTTAATTATTTTTTATCAATTTTTGACATGACTTGACAATAATGCCCTTTAAACAATTTCAGACAAATTAAAATGGTTTCAATCTTCTTGATCTCGCCATCCACATAAATATTTCAAAATTAAATCTCGATTTCTCTTTCTAGTTAAATAGTGTCTATCTTGACATCCAAAGAGCAAAGATGACATCAAGCTCTTTCTTATTTTATTTTTTTTTATGGTGGATCTTGGGGTTTTCAAGGGCAATGAACAATGATTTTGCTCTTCTATAGTGATTGCAGGCAATATGATGAATGTGGTAATTGGATGCTTTCTGATGATGACATGCTTTGAAACATGTGCTGCAATGGAGATGCCTATGTTGATGAATTAGATCAAATTGGTTAAGATGATGGCCTTAGAGAGAAGGAACAGCTAAAGCATATTTGATGGATTTTATTGTGATTCACGATTTTATTATGTCTAGGATTAGGATGATTATTAAGCATATTTGTTAGGAATTTTGATTCTTTTTATGGGATCTTGAGTTGAAATTATTCAAGAAATATTTTGTAAAGGTAGTATATTTTGTTTTTGCATAAAAAGAGTAAGCAAGGCCCTCCCGATAGAAATATATTTTGTCTTGCTTTGGAGGGTTATAGAGTTTTGTAACCTTTCTTTTATGAAATACACAATTTCATGGCTTAGCAAAAAAAAAAGTATGTGTTTTAGGTTCTTGAGTTTATTGGTTTATTCATAAAACCCTAAAGTTGAAGAGTTGAAATTAATTAGACTAGTTTTTAAGTATTACGATACTAGTTTTTAGGTATTATATGACTTAATTATTGAGTGACTGGTTTTTAGATATTACGTGATCAGTTTTAGGCATTACGTGACTAGTTTTATGTATTACGTGATTGATTTTTAAGCAATACCTTAGTCACACAATGCCTTACCAACTAGTCACGCAATGCCTTACAACAAGTTACGCAATACTAGTCACGCAATGCCATATCAACCAATCACGTAATATTTAAAAACTAGTCACGCAATGCCCAAAGTCAATCACGTAATATCTAAAAATTAACCGCATAATGTTAAAAAACTAGTTACGCAGTACCCAAAGTTAATTACATAATGTCCAAAGTCAATAACGCAATACTTAAAAACTAGTCACACAATGCCTAAAAACCAATTACTCAATGCTTAAAAACCACCAAAACTATTAAATTCCATTTAACAAGATCAACAACTTCAAACAATACACCACATTTCATTTAACAACATAATAAACGAATATGCCTACTTAACAAAGAATGCTCAAAAGGTTCAAAGGTTTTTCTTCATATATCAAAAATTACTCCAAAATGCTTAAAAATACTCAAAAGGCTCAAAAGTTTTCTTCGTGTGTCAAAAACTATTCCAATTGCTCAAAATGCTTAACGTTTTTCTTTCTGATAAGGAATACTTCAGAGATGAATCATCTGGCGAGAAAAACTCAAAGAATATGAGTCGATTTGAGACGCAAACCTAAACATACTTGACCCGTTAATAGGTTTTGGCTTAAGGCACGAAGCCAAACGAATGGGTCGGTTTCATTAAGGACAATTTTGTCCAAACTTAATTCTCTTGGCTAAAAACAGTTAAAATTATAGAGAGGCTTATTGTCAGAAACGCCTTATGCATGAGGCCCATTCAAAAAAAAAACTTTTCTCTTTTCTTTCATACCTCTTTCACTTTCTCACTCCTTCCATCTCTTTTCTTAATTTCTTCCATTTTTTTTCTTGATTTTTCCAATCTACAATACTAGTTTTCAAGTTCTAGCTTTAAAAAGGTAAAGTTCCAACTTTGCAAGCATTTAGACTTAAGGTGGCATTTAGTATGAGGAAAGTGGAAGCACATTCCTTTCAATGTATTCAATTAAATTACATTGTGGTATTTATTTTGCAACAAATTATTGCAATGTAAAATTGTATGGCTACAATGTCCCGATGCTTATCTTTTGCTTGAAAGTTAATACTCTCGAAGTTCTCATTGGCTTTGTGCAAAACTGTGTTCATATGTGTCTCTCTTTCACTTTTGCTGTGTAGTTTTTGGGTAGCAAATAAGTTAAGACAAGCTTCTTGGGGTAAGCGAAGCTGATGGCTCCCTTGTTTTTGTTCTTGCTTTGAGTCATTTTTTGTCACTATTTCAAACTGTCTGTATAAGTTTCTCATTTTTAATACCTAATGTTTTTTTTTAAAAAAAATAATGATTGTAGTCTAAAAACAATGCAATCAGATTGCATTCCACTTTGTAATGTTTTTAAACACATTTTTTACTTTCAACTCGGTTACTTTGTTTTTTTTTTTTTGAAAGATTTAATATTTATTACAACTAGAAAAAAATCCTTTGAAAAAATAAACATCAATACGAAACCAGTGATCTATGGACTATACTTGGGAACACCAAACAAGTATATACCTCAAATCTACCTTCAAAGAAACACCCACCAAAACCTGCCCAAACAATGGCACCCCCTGTACAACCCCATGACCAATCACAAGAAAGCCCCACCTATACAAGGGGGGCACTTAAACAATGGTAGAAATAACAAAAAAACAAAACCTTTCCTTTCGCTAGAACCACATCAAGCCTTTACAAAAGCTTAAAGGAGCACATAAGACATCGGCCAAAAATAAAGATTAACTAGCCTAAATATACAAAACAAATCAAGCTCACAAGTCAGGAATTTTCATCACCACTTTCTTAGATTCGTAGAAGGTTTTACTATCTATTGGCACCCTTTTAGCCAACTTGTCAGCAACTTGGTTGGCTTTTCGTCAAGAGTGAATAACTTTCCATTCATTATTTGCTTCCTTAAGCTTTTCAATCTGTAACACCCATCTTTTCAGTTTCCATGGAGCTCATTGTGGCTGGTTAGACCAACTTACCGCATTCACAAAGTCACCTTCAATCACTAATAATGAGTAGTTCCTCCACTCCATGGTAGCAAAAATTAGGAAAGCTTTTCTGATAGCCAAAAATTCAATAGAGTTTGCATTACTCATCCCAATCGATTTACAAAAAATGACTTTGATCTCACCTTAGTTGTTACAAAAGACTCTTTGTCTCATTCTCTTTCACTCTTTTACTTTTCCTAACTCTTTTCTTCTTGATTTCTCCAAATCTATAACACTAGCTTTCAAGTTCTAGATTAAAAATGGTAATATTTCAGCTTCTCAAGCATTTAAACTCATGGGTTTTCATTTTTAACTTATTTCTCTCTCTAAAATGTTAGGTTCTTTTGGTTTTGTTAGCACAAGCTCACTAAGATAAGTTAATCATGAAATTAAGCTACCTATATTATAGTGTGTAGTTAAGAAGCCAAAACAAGGCTAGAAAATTAGTTTAGAAAAAGATTTGTTAGGAATTGGTTGAAGATTTTGGGCATTATGAAATTTTTGGAATTTATTAGAGTATTAATGATTATTAATCATTTTAGGTGTTGTTGAAAACTCCCACAATCCGTAGGGAGCAAGATTGGATTGGTTGAAAGTGCTAAAGGAAAAGCACTCCTTAGACTTGGAGTAGATGTGGCGTTTTTCACATATTTTGATAAATATGAGCATGTTCTTAATTGTCTTTGCAATAAGTGATTTATTGATTCATTTATGAGGTTTAAAGATTTTGACTTGTTTCAATGTTTGCAAATGAATTACAAATGTGTTATTATTATGTAAATATGTGAGTATCTATATTATTAATTTTGAGCATGGAGAACAAGCCCATGACATATTCTTCCTTCAAAATTGGAATTAAGATTGAATAATGTATGGTTTCATGATGCTTGAGCTTGAAAGATAATCATTGATGACATTTGGAAAATAGAATTGTGCCAATTACATGTCACAGCATGTCTTGTAATGTCATTATGGGTCTTGTTACATGTCTTGTCACATCTTGTTACGTGCCTTGTCAAGTCTTGTTAATACATCTAGATTAGGCATTTCACATGATACATGTCTTATAAAGCATGATATGGAAACTTGAATGAAATTCTAACTATAGATGCTTGAAAAACTTGAATGAAATCCCAAGTATAGATGCTTGAAAATGAATGCTTGATGATTCATGTGATTTGTTATTGATCTAGAAGAATTAATGTTTGGGTATGTTTATTGGTTAGTTTGCCTCCCAAGGAATGAATTAGATAGAATGAGGGATGAATACCCTTTCGTTTTTGGCTTAAGGTTTGAAATAGTTGAATTTTTGAAAAAATATGAAGGCAATATTCATATCTATTAATAAGATATTGATACCTATGTTTCCAAAATACTTAGGAAAGAATTTTGGATGAAAGTATCGATATTCACAAGTGAAGTATCAATACTTAAGCTACCAAAAATGCTCAGAGGGCATTCTAATGAACAAGTATCAATACCTTTCATGGATGTATTGGTACCTATAGCTATTTTTAGTAAAAATCACACTTTTTCACATGATTTTAGTGGCTCTTGACTTATTGTTTCAACTAAACATCAAATGGGCTTTACAAGTTATTTAAACTATTGAAATGAGTAGTATGTTATGGATTATTATAACTTTATGGATTTGATTTATAAATTGCATAATTTTAGGAATGTGTTCTGTACAAACACTCATGTATTTGCTTATTCCCCTTCCCTATATCTGCTCATTGAGTTTTTATAACTCACACATGTAAATTTTATTTGGTTTTTAGATCAATTGATCTCTTGCTTAGGTATCTTTGAAGAGTCCTCCTTTCATCATTCCTTGTAGATGATTGTTGAGGCACTTAATAAACTATTGCTAACCTTTGTGTTACTCCGTTAGTTGGGTGATTTTGTATTTGTTTATACAAGTGTTGAGAACATTTATATTTGGTCAATATGTGGCAAATGATAATTGAATCTGCTAGGTACTCATGTGTTTTAAAGTTATTGAGCACAATCATATGTTGATTGTTTTGAACACAAGAATTCTGTTCATGGGTTACATTTTGTTTATCAATATATATGTTCAAATGCTATCTCTTGTACCTTGTTTCTATGATTGTATTTAGTGAATTGCATTTGAGGTTTGTTGGGTCCAGCTGATCAAATCCACAGAGGTTCTTGCACTAATCATGGCCCGAGATTGGTTCGAGAGAAAAACCCACGTTGCCAAGAAGTTTGAAAGTAGTCTATTTGAAACAAGTATTGATACATCTCATAAGGGTATCAATACCTACAATCATTTTTTGGGGAAAAACCACACTCTTCGAGTTATTTCAATGGCTTTTAACTTATTATTTTAAATCCAATTTCAAATAGCCTTTTAACATTGATATGTCTTACCTAAATTATACCTAAGTTATACAAAGATTTATTCTCTCTCCTTAACAAAGTGCGAGAAATAGTACAAAATGGATTTGAATCAACCTAATCTCTAATTAATCGAAGAAAAGAAAGAGAGAATGCTAAACATTTTTTTATTATTTTTCATACATACAAAAAAGAGAGTACTATATATATATATATAACTCAGGCCTAATACTTTTATTAATACAATTAGATAAATAATGATAGATTCCATCAACCAACACTGACATGTTCCATGCTGAGCAATGCAAGACAACATGCTTGGCACTCCAGGCACATGCAAAACATGCATAGAGGCTATGCACACAAGGAGGCCTCACACTAGAAAGTCATGCAAACATAGCCTGCACATCAATGGGCTATGTGCATCACAACTGCGCACTAGAAGGCCACGCATGAAGGGGTTGCACACCAAAAGACCTTATACGAAAGGACCACACATTAAAAGGCCTCATACCAGAGGGCCACACACTAGAAGGTCTCGCATGAGAAGGCCATGCACTAGTGGGCTACACGCCATCAAGTCGTAAACACGTTGTGCCTAGGACTAGGCAATGGTCAATTGGGATCGCCCAATCGACCACAACCGTCGGTTATTGCAACCGATGGTTGTTTTTGCAACCGTTGGTTGTGCCGATCGGCCTCGTCGGCCGATCAGCTCGATCATCGGGGGGAATCTTTTCCCCCCAAACTGATCGAAAAAACTAAGCTTCTTTCTTTTGGGCAAAGTCACCCATGGCCCCCCGCCTGGCTGCCCCAGCACTTCACTACTTCCCCCCCTCCCCCCGACTCAGTCCTGACCTAATTCCCCCTCCCACTCGCAGACCTAACGAAATCCCCCTCCCATGAGTCCCGACTCCCACCTGATTCCTCCCCCCCCCCCCCCCCGACGAGTCCAGGAGGACCAGGACCTATTCCCCCCACCCCTAGCTATTGCGAGTCCACGACTTAATTTCCCCCTCCTCCCTCCCCCCCGTCCTAATCCAGGGGCTTTTCCTTCGAACCTTTCCTACTTTCTGCCTCTCCCTGACTCCCTCCCTCTCTAACCTGCCGAAGCCGCCATTGATCTACCACCCTTCACCCTTGCTTATCAGTCTTCCTCTCTAACCGACCGAAACCGAGCCTCTAAAAAATCGCACCGAAACTGACATTGCATAATATGCGGTTGATCGGTTATAGGGAAAAAATTTGCGTTCGGTTTTTGGTCAAAACCGATCGGTGCACACCCCTAGTCGTGCCTCAAGGACTTGCACAAATATGCATCGAGTGCAAGGACATGCAGGGAAGCAATGTACGAAAAGCTCGAGTACAAACGGACTACACGTTTGCGAATAATTCGCTACGACCAAAATTCTTATTTAATGTTGCCAATAAAATATGTGGCTACGTTAGTCTAGGAATTTAGGCTAGTTGTGTTCTATTAGGCGTAAACCATTTACCTAATTTATGCTTTCTTTTTATATTATTTACTTGCACTTCAATTAAGATTAAAATTCTCTTATGTTTAGGATGGGTTATCTTTATAAATAGTCTTTTTATGTTTCATTGTAAGGCACCAAATTGCCAATCAAGTAGCTTACTAAGTTATTCATAAGCTAGAGTCTTAGGTATTTTGTTTTTCTTTGAAGAATAATAAACTTATTGTTTCTCAATGTTTCCTTTTCTCCATATGAAAACTAAAAATCTACACTAGCGAACACATCTGAGATTAGAGGTGTTCTCAAGGCAGCTAACAAGGAGCTGCCTCAAACGAACCCACAAAGCCAGTAGGAATCCCACAAAAGACTTGTGGTGGAAAGAGACCATGAAGCAACAAGGGCATTGTCAAAATCAAATGGGAGAGAATGTCATAGATTGTGAATCTGTGATCCATCCAAGCCTATGAGGGTATTGAACTAACAATGAACACCATCAAACCAGCATCGATTAAGGGTTTGCAAGCACATTACACACCGATAACATTGGGCTGCACGAGTAAGGCATAGAAAAATGAGCTTTATCGAGCAGTGCGGGACGGCATGCTTGGTGTGTTAGGCTTGCGTATATACAGAACACACATAGAAACCGTGAACACAAAGAGACCTCACATCAAAAGGCCTTGCAGACACAACTCGCACATCAATAGGCCGCACGCATCACAATCATGCACTAGAGGGTCATGTACAATAAGGTAGCACACTAGTAAGCCATGCATCAATGGGCCACACACCATCAAGCCACAAATAGGCTACGCCTCAAGAACTTGTGTAGATATGGGCCAAGCATAGGGAGGCCGTGTGTAGGGAAATCATGCACGAAAAGCTCGAGTACAAGTAGACTGCACCCATGCAAGTAATTCAGTAAGGCTAGAATTCTTGTGTGCTGCTAATAAAAAAGGTGGCTAACTAAGTCTAGAAATTCAAGCCAATTGTGTTCTATTAAGCATAGAACACTTACCTTATTTATGCTTTTTTCCTATATTATTTACTTTACTTTCACTTCAAGTAAGATGAGAGTTCTCATAGGTTTAGGATGAGTTATCTCTATAAATAGCCCCTTTATGTTTCATTATAAGCATCAAAATTGACTACCAAGTAGCTCACCAAGTTATTCATAAGCTAGAGTCTTAAGTATTTTTTTTTTTT